CCACCATATTCAACAGCTCATTGCACGCTATCATGACGACACTCCGCCACAGCCTTCTAGACGAACGCCATCGAGAGATTCTGCCACGCGACCGTGATTCGGTGCCTGAGTTCAGCGAGGTCGTTGATTTCTCCGCCACTGTAGACCACCCTGTTGAGCTCCGCCCGAACCCGGTAATTGAGGGGGTTTCAGGTCAGGTGACACACTTAGATATTCCGTCTTCTTCAGGTACTCAACGCCCTTCCATTCCAAGTAGGCGAGAGTTTTCCAACGCCCTTCGATTCCATGTGGTGGCACCCAATCCTGTAGCAGTACAAAGTTCCAAGATGGTACGGGCGACGACATGAAGGGAGGATATTCTCCTCGAGTTGGTCGATGTAACCGTCAGCGTTCACTTTCAGTCCGGGGTCCACGAAGAAAATATCGGTCTTCCATTCCAGGTACGTCCGGTCCATACCATCAACCCGCGCCTTGGCGACTGTGGTGAAGATGATATCCTAGACCGTAGCGACGTTGTCGGAGCTGCTCGATGTTGGAGGTCTTTGAGAGTGCTGGTCTCCAGGTAGCTATCCATGGGTGACTCCATACTAGAAGTTTCGCAGCTGTTTGGAGGTGACATGAATTCCAAAGGCTTCTCCAGTCAGGCTGCGACTGGAGATGACTTCATATTTTGGTGTACATGAAGGTGATGGGCGAGAGCCAGCTCCTGCTTATCGAGGAACATCTTGGGTATCTTCCGCCCTGGTACTCGTATCCACGTCTTCTGTCTGGGCTGAAAACTTGCTGATATGTGACTCGGTCGAAGTGTTTTTTCACCCCTCCCGTTATAGTGCAGGTGACGCCAGACTGCGCGGCCAAAGTAGTCCCTGGCCATTTTTGAAACACACTTTTGAGTAGCGACGTTGTACAGTATGTGGGTTTCTTTCTAATGAGTAATTACGAAATGTGTCTGCCTACTTCGACCATTCTAAACAGTAGTTTTCCAGAAGCTCTTGAGTGAACTCTTGAGATCTCTCAAAGGTGTTACCTGATCGAATCCGACGACGTTTTCCAGCTGGTGGGCGTTGGATCCGGAACCGACGCAAGCTACGAGAGTTCTCCTAAAAATTATACGGTTTTGCTCAGAGACTACACAGATAATACTTCTATCATGCTTGCGTAGCTGCCAGAATATAAATTGGAAAGGCGGACGCACTATTCCTCCAGTACTATTCCAACAACTGCTGAAATTTTTTCTCTAAAACTTTGGCCGGAGGGTTATTCAGTGCCCTGATCACGGATATGATACTCTTTCTGGCGCCGGCAGGCGTCAACTCGGAGGGGTTATTCGCCATCCTGGTCACGAACATTACGCTCGTTTCAATGCTGGCACCACTTGGCGCCAAATGGGCGCCATCACTTTTTTCACCAGAATCGATGAAAACTTGCACGCGAGGATTACTTCTCATCCTGATCACGAATATGACCCCGATTTTTGGCGCTGACGCCAATGCTCGGCACTCTGGTCATTTGGCGCTCTGCCTAAAGCTGTGCCTGGCGGTAAAGGGATCACCCCTCTTTCCGGGCTCAGCCTTAGCACAGCGCTAAACTGCGATGGTGTTGAAAAATGTCGT